AATATAAATATCCATTAAACCATATTTTTCTATTATTTTAGTTGACTTTATCAACTTGTCTACCAGTCCAAAGATAGACGTAAGTGCTACCACTTTGGACAATATGACAGTATTTTAACAAATGCATGTTGATTTTAAAATGGTGCAACTTATAGATTATACAAAATTCACGATAATTCAAAACAGTCTGATAAACACGTTGCACAAAAAGATTTTTTTTTAGGATTATAATTTGTCTAATAAAAAAATCCAAAAGTAACATTTTGTGAAATGTCCATAGGTACACGATCTTACCCTACTTTTTTTAACCTTCAAAAACCTGTATAAGATTTTCTTTCTTACTGGCCTAGTACTGGTAGCTAAGTTGGTACGGTCACATATACAGAATAGATTATAATAGACTGGTAAAAAGCGTATATAAGAAAAAGAACAAGAAATAGAAGGAAACGCTGACCCAGTCAAATATGTAAGCAAATATTCGAAATAGGCAACAACAGATGAAAAACCAGGAGAAACGACATAATTGACGAATGATTCACCGAAAAAACAGTTAAGAAAACCCAACATTACACCTCTTAGGGGAAATAATGTATCCTTAAAAATAAGAAGAAGAGTAAAGTATTATTTTTGTAAAAGACCAAAAATAATAACAGGCAAATTTATTTTCAGTACAATAAAAAAGACAGAATATAAAGAAAAACAGAAACTAATTAAACAAAAAATAAAGGTGGCTAAAGAAAAATGGATGGAGGATAAATGCAAGGAATTAGAAAAGTTGAATGAAAAACATGATACGTTTAATATGTTTAAAAAAGTTAGAGAAGTAGCTGGTCTTTATCATAAGAAAACTCCACATACTATAACCGATTCGTCGGGAAAAATGATAATAGACGAACATGAAATTCGAACAACCTGTTGTAATTATATAAGTGAACTATATAATGATGATAGACCCGAAGAACCGAAGACTTTAGTTGAAGGTGAAGGACCAGAAATACTAAAATCAGAAATACTGCGTGCTATAAAGTTAGCAAAGAACAAGAAAGCCGTTGGCCCTGATAACATACCGACAGAGATGTTAAAGCTTATAAATGAGGAGAACATTGGAATACTGGTCAAACTTTTCAATGATGTTTATTCGACTGGTGATATCCCTAAAGATTGGTTAAAGTCCGAATTCATAACACTACCAAAAAAACAACGTCCGAAAAACTGCAGGGATTATAGAATGATAAGCCTTATGAGCCACACTTTGAAAATATTTCTACGCATCATCCACAGTAGAATCAGAGATAAATGTGAAGAAGATCAGGATGAAACACAATTTGGCTTCAGAAATGGACTGGGAACTCGGGACGCCCTCTTTGCACTAAATGTATTACTGCAGAAATGTCGAGATCAAAGGAAAGACGTCTTTGCTGTATTTATTGACTATGAAAAGGCCTTTAATCGAGTACAGCATCACAAATTAATTACAATATTAAAAGATAAAGGAGTTGATAGTCAAGATATACGATTCATAGAAAAGTTATACTGAAAATCAACAGAAATATGTAAAATACAAAGAGGTGTCAGACAGGGTTGTATACTATCCCCACTGTTATTTAATTTATATTCAGATAGAATATTTAAAGAAGCGCTGCATAATTTGGAATGGGGCGTGAAAGTTAATGGAATTCTGATAGATACAATCAGATATGCAGACGATACAGTTATTTTAAGTGATGATATGAATGGATTACAATGCCTTTTAAATGCCATTGATACAGTGGGAAGAGAGTTTGGCCTAAACATATACTGTTCAAAAACAAAACACATGGTGTTTAGCCGTTTAGCACATCAAGATGCACGATTATATGTTGATGGTCATATAATTCAAAGAGTGTCCAGTTTTAAATATCTTGGTTGCCATATTACTAAACAACTAGATCCAGATCAAGAGATAAAATGTAGAATCGAGATAGCCCGCACGACATTTTTAAAAATGAAGTCATTCTTCTGTAATGATAACTTGAAACTTCAACTTCGAAAGCGTATGGTTAAATGCTACATTTGGTCAGTCCTCTTATACGGTGTTGAAGCATGGACATTAAAAATATCCACCATTATTCGTCTGGAGGCCTTTGAAATATGGCTGCACAGACGTATACTAAAAATTCCATGGACGGCAATGCTGACAAATGTGGCAGTCTTTGAGAGAGCAAATGCTGCTCGCGAGCTGCTTGATAACATCATATGTAGAAAGATGGCCTATTTTGGACACGTAGTAAGGGGAGACCGATATAATGTTCTTCAACTTATTATGATGGGTAAAATCGAAGGAGGCAGAGGAATTGGTATAAAGCAGGCCTCTTGGTTGAAGAATATCAGGGAGTGGACAGGAATAAGGAAAGCTGAGCAACTCTTTAGAATAGCTCGAGACAGAGACAGTTTCGCCATGTTAATCGCCAACGTCAAGGGGACTTGATAGGGCACGTTAAGAAGAAGACAATAAAAAAATGCTTATTTTCCTTATATTATTCCTTGTGTATGCTGTAGGATCTCGTTCTAAGTTGTTCTGTTCTATTCGATCGATTGTTGAAAATTCCTTATTTATAAACGATAAAGGATAATCATTTTTTAATAAAACAGATGTTAACAAATGTTTCTCCTCCAAGAACGAATTTTCGTTAGAACAAGTAATTTTGGCTCTATCGTATAAGGATTTAATTATTCCCTTTATTCATTAACATTGTTAATAATACCGGGATAACAAATAAAGGAAAATAACAATACCGTATATAAAAGGATTATCAGAAAAACTTAAAAGGATAGGAAATAAATTCAACATTTCAACAACATTCAAAACAACAAACACGTTGAGATCTATTTTGTCCAAAACCAAACCTAACAATGAACAAGAAAGGACAAAGAATTGCATTTATAAAATACCTTGTGAATGCGATCAGTTTTATTTAGGTGAATCATCAAGGCCATTAAATGTTAGAATAAGTGAACATCAATCTTATATTAAAAATAGAGAATTTGATAGATCTCAAATATGTAAACACGCATGGGATAATGAACATAGGGTTCAATGGAATAATTTAAATGTAGTCCTAAAAGAAACGGATGGTAAAAAAAGAAAAATCAAAGAAGCGGCTCTAACTATTCTAAATGAGGCCAATTGTGTCACAAATTCCTCGGCAGAATGTAGTAGGATCTGGTTACCAATATTGAAAGAGAAAGTTATTAATAAGAAAATACCAGTATTAGTAAGTCAGTAACATATAGAGGATACATCATTTATGTTTTTTAAATAACGTAACATATAAAATCAGAATTTTGATGTTTGTTGAAGGTAAATTAAATTCACGAACAAATACTTACAATGTCGGGATAGTATTATGAGGTTTTTTTCCTGGTTTTTCCCTCATAATTTACTATGGAATCACTAACAGGAGAATTTTACTGTCATCATGTCATGTGTTTGTCTTTTTAAAGACGAATTATATGCTATGATTTTTTCTGACGGATATTCTCAGGTTAAAGTTGATTTCATGTAATCGAATGAACTATCTTATAAGTAAAGTCGTCCCAGGAGCGCAACTCAACAATATTGGCAATATCATTTTAAAGTCGTCTACTTTAGAATGCATAATGTATGTCTGAATTGTCAATATAAATGAGTAAGATAAAATTAAATTATTCGAAGAATTTTTCACTATGTAACAAAAAACAAAATTTGTTTAATTGACTGTTTGTATTTTGAGAACGATTTCCGAAGTTTAAATTGAAACGTCAATAAACTTATTTTTATCTTTAATTGTGACTTATTCCCAGTTAAATAGTAATTAATTTACATATTAAATGTTGGGATAAAAATACGGTATACTCTGTGATCTTTGTAGATATCTACGTAGAATCTATCTATGTAGAAAAATATAAAAGTTATTACAATTGTTTAAGTATAGATAAAAAACATACTCCTCTTCAAACGTTTATTTTGTAAATAATTTCGATGAAAACGCAATATACATTTAACTTCTGAGATAGTTTAAGTCTCAAAGAATCCTGCTAGAACAATGAAATTTGCTAAATGTGTCTAGCATCATTAATAGAGAAAGTTCAATAGTTGAAATAGTTAACCTCAGGGATAAATAAATTAAAGAACTTTTAAACTATTTGACTGATTGGTCAAAATTGAAAAGACGGTAATTCCTTGATGTTCAAATGTATTAATAACATTTTATTTTGATAATAAAAAAATTAATAAAAGTTATAAATTAGTGCAAAAAACTGCTTTTTTGCCAATATTTCCGCAAATTATTTATCAATTTTAATTAAAACAACGGGAAAATAAAGATATTTTTGACATACAAAAATTATATAAATATTGTTTGTGTAAAATATAAGGGAAAAAACTTGTGCCATAATTAACCATAAATTAATTAAATTAAAAAAAACGTAAGGTAAAAATACGAGTACTTTTCCATCTATTCGTCATTTAGTAACCCCTACCTATACCTTAAAAGCTTCAGATATCTGCGAAAATGTTTGCCATAAATCGAAGATTTTTGCATAACCAGACTTGGCTATGATTGAATTAATAAATTTTGTGGAAATACTAAAAGCACCAAATTTAAATTTTAATTTATCGTTTATATAATAATTTTCAATTATGATCGAAAAACAAATAAACTGTAAGCAGTTTTAATGAAAAGTATCAAATTTTACCTAAATTAACTGACAAATATTAACATCTTGGCAACAGTACAAGATAAATAATTAAAATGAAATCGTTGAATACAAATCTTTAATGAAAATTCACGAGAATACTAAATTATGTGAATTAACAGGAAACTATAATTAATAAATGTGTTTTGTTGTAATGTTTTAGCGGATTTTAGATAGTATTTCTTTTCTCCGAGAGTTACATAATGCGTAACGCCTGTACCTGTGGTTGCCACATAAACATCCAGTAAGCTCGAACGCTCTCAGCTGATGCGAATAACACTCACCTATTTTGGACAGGCTGGCACAAAAAATCCATAAAGCAATGATGAACGGCGTTTCGACTCTGTGAAAAGAGACTGAAATGATGGGATATCTGGTCACCTCCTTTTTATCCGGCGTTTTCTGGGTAACGAGCCCGGTAATAACCTCCTCCTGCGTATTGTCCTTAACATCTTCCACCGGTACGAGGTTCGTTCTATGGCCGGAGGGAGTCGGAATGGCTCTATACAAACTGCTGTCATATGAGTTAGTGTCAAGGTTAGCCGAGGGCTGTTTGTGGTTGTCGGCAGCATGATTCGGCGGTTTGGCAAAGCAGTGTCTGTTTCCGATCAACAACAACAATAACAACACAGTCAACAACACGTAGCCTGTCTTGCATGCCCGCCTCGACAGATTCACGCCGTGTTCCAGCGAATACATCACATATGGTCTAACTACGCGGAAGGACTGCCATAGGGCAGTCTGTTGCAGGTACTGTGCACCTGACGAGACTGGGTTGGAGATTAGGGCGGCTGATACAGTCGATCGCGAGCGTCGGGACGCCGACGCGCCACTGCTATGGACGCCTGCGCTCAGAGGGTTGCGGCTGTCGAGAGTTCGCTCTTGTAAGGGTTGAAAGCACTGAATATAATCCAATCAAACCGGTTAAATTATGTATACCTTTAAATCACTTCCTGTTCATACGTTTAGATATTTAGAAAATTACAGATTTCTATTTTATAAGAAATTTTTTTCTTCTATACCGTTTTGTAATGCGAAATTATTACTTGTTTAATCAATTATATTTTACTTAATGCCAGTGCTATTTTTTCTATATTTCGCGCAATTCATAATAAAAACAATTCATACAAATAGCAACTTTTTGCACACTTCTATACGTGTTTAATAATATAATATTATTATTTTATTGTTTTTAAACATGAATCAACAACACAATACAAACAACAGTAAAATAGCTTTAGTGAACTCAATTCAGACATATTTAAATAATTCCGTACATTACTCATTATTTGTCGAAAACAAAAAGAAAATAGAAAAAGAGGTAAAAATTACAGATTCCATCAGTCTACTAAATGTTGCAATAAGTAAGCAAGAACTAAATAAAGCACTACACGGACTTAAAACTTTAGCCCTGGACCAGATAAAATTACAAATATATATATATATATATATATATATATATATTATATATATATATATATATATATATAGCGAGTGTTTGCAACTTTAATTTTGTCGCTTCTCGCATCACAATCGCCATAATTTCTTAATTTCTTATCGGCCCAGTCTCCTTCTTGAAGACCTCTATTTTCCATTTCTATATGATATTATCCATTTCTTTCTTGGCCTTCCCCTTTTATTTCTCTGTGTAGGTCTCCAGTTCCAAACCTTTCGTGGTATCCTTTCTTCGTTCATCCGTCTCAGGTGTCCATACCATTTTAATTGTTTTTCGGCTATCGTATCCATTATTGTGTTCTTTACTTTCATTCTCTCTCTTATGTTTTCATTTCTTATGTGGTCAAAGTTAACCCGGAACATCTTCTCCAGTACATCATTTCCGTTGAGAGGAGTTTTTGTGACATATTATTGTTAAAGACCCACACTTCTGACACATACGTCAGCACCGGCTGAATCATAGCCTGATATATATTTTTCTTTGTTTTCTTAGTTAAAGTTTTATTCCAAAGGATCGGATGTAGTGTTTTTATCATGTTTTTTCCTTTTCCTATTTTTCTTATTATATCTTTGTCGTCTCTCCCGTCTTCGCTTAGTGTAACTCCGAGATATTCGTACTGATCAACGTTTTTAATTAATCCGCTTTCTGTTTCCATGCCTTGACCGATGCCTCCTATATTCATGTATTGTGTCTTTTCGGTATTAACCTCTAATCCCCATTTTTTGAATTCGTCTATTAGTTTCTTTATCATGTACGTCATATCTTGTAGGTCCTCGGCAAGAACTACCTGGTCGTCTGCGAAGAGGATTGTGTATATAGGAATGTCATTTACCCATATGCCCATTGGGCTGCATTTGCTCATCCAATGTTTTAAAGCATTACCAAGATATATTTTAAATAGGGTTGGGAAGAGGCAAGAGCCCTGTTTGACACCCTGTGTTTGGGTGAAACCCTTGGAAATTTGGTTTCCAACCTTAATATAAGCTTGGTTATCTTGATATAGCTTTTTCACGGCATTTATATATACTGCATTTATACCAGCGTTTTCCAATGTTGTCCATAGTCTCTGCAGTGGTACGGAGTCAAACGCTTTACGGAGATCTATAAAAGTGGCATGAAGTTCTAGTCTTCTTGCTAATCTCTTTTCCGTTAGGTGTTTGAGAGTAAATACATTGTCGACAAAAGATCTCCCTGGTCGGAATCCACTTTGTTCTTCGATCTCTGTGGCTTCTTTTTCTATTCTCGCTTTCAGAACTCTTTCATACAGTTTGCCAGTGGATGACGTAATGCTGATACCTTGGTAATTACTGCAGTCATTCCTGTTTCCCTTTTTGTAGATGGAGTTTATGTACGAGACTTTCCAATCTCTTGGGATACTTTCTCCTTGTAGGCACTTGTTAAACATTTTACAAAGCAATTCTAATGTTATTGCAGTGGCATGTTTGAATAACTCGATAGGTAAATGACCCGGCCCAGGAGCTTTATTATTTTTCATTTTTTGTAATGCGTTTTTTATTTCTTCTACGGTAATCATCGCCACTTCATTTAACCCCGTTTCAACTCTATCTATATGTGTGTCTAGAAACTGTGTACGTTGTTCATTTAATAGATTTTTATAATAATTTTTCCATCTTTCTATGTCTATGGGGTTTATTTTTTTTGTTTCGTTTGTATTTTTTCTAAGACTGTTGATAGTTTTCCAAGCTTGTCTGGACCTAGATCCTCCTACCATTGAGCTTATTTCTGCATACTTGTTGTCCCAGGTTATGTTTTTTGTTTTTTTAATTTCCTTTTTTACTATATATTTGTATCTGTTATAGTTCTTTCGGTCTTCCTCATCTTTTGTCGCTAACCATTTGAGATACAGTTTTTTCTTTTCTTCTACCAGTTCTAATAAACCTTCTGTCCACCAATAATTTCTACGTTTTACTTTTTCTTTCGTACCTAAAGCTTCTAATGCTGCTTCATGAATTTTGAGTTTCAAAGTCTCATACATTTCTTCCGCTGTTCCGTTTATTTCTTCGTCTAATTTTTGTGCCAAACGTAGTTTATAAAGAAAACTTGTGGACTCATTTTTTAAGCTGTCTATGTTATAGAGCCGTGTGGATTCTTTGTTTGTCTGTTCTTAGGATTTATTTTGTATAATATATCTTATTTCCACGGGTGCCTTTACTAGTAGGTGATCCGATCCACATTCTGCCCCTCTCCAAACTTTTACATCGTAGGGTCTTAGAGTCGTAGAGTCTAAAATTACAAATTCTTGTTTAATTAATCTTCCTTTAACTGCTAAACATCTACTCTTAGATATATAGAATTTTTTATTTTCGACTAAACAATTTCCTACATCCTGGATCTCCGCTACAATAATTCCTCTTTTGAAACCTAACACAAAGAAGTCAAACCCGGAATCTTATAGACCAATATCCTTAACATCTTCCTTATGTAAATTACTAGAAAAAGACTTTAAATAAACGGTTACAATTCATACATTTTAATCAGCAAAGCGACTTTAGGAAAAATATAAGCACAACTGACAATTTAATGTCGCTAGAATCGGCAGTTAATAAAACATTTGCAACTAATCGACAAGTTATAGCTGTCTTCTTTGATATAATTAAAACTTATGATACTATATGGAAATATGACGTTATTGTTAAATTACAGCATTGGGGCATAGATGGAAATTTTCTAGCATTCGTCAAAAATTTTCTAGGTGACAGAAATTTCCGAGTTAAATTCAGAATACTGGCACAAGAAAATGGCATACCCCAAGGATCTATATAAGCGCAACACTCTTTTTAGTTGCAGTTAACGATCTCCAGAACAGTATCCGAAACCCTGTTAAAGCAATCCTGTATGCAGATGACCTCGTAATCTATATTTCTCATAAGAATCTTAATATGGCATCAAACATTATTCAACTTTATATTAATTCCCTACAAGAATGGTCTAAAACAACAGGACTGAAATTTTCTACGTTTAAAACCAAAGTAATATGCTTTTCCCGAAAACATCAAGTTGTTGCAAATCTTCGAAAATTAACACTGTATGATCAAGTTTTAGAAAACTTTAAGGAAGTTGGATTTCTAGGTATGATTTATGATTCAAAACTTACTTAGAACAATGTCCTCAAAACTTTATTATGAATGTCCAAGCTGCAACACAACCAAAATTAATATTATTTTTATTGTTGTATGACACTGTATACAGGGTGTTTCAAAAAGGTATGTCATAAATTAAATCACGCATTCCGGGGACAAAAATAAATTGATTGAATCCAACGTACGTTAGTACAAAAGTGTACACAAAAACACAAAAACAAGTTACAGCCCTTTGAAGTTACAAAATAAAAATTGTTTTTTTTTTGCATTGTCTCCTAAACTACTTGACATTTAGTAAATAAAAATGAACACGTGACTTTCTTGCTCTAAAAGAATTTTTCATAAAAAGGAACAGCAAAATCTTAACACACAGAACAATTTTAAGGGGGTGTGCAGCTCTAAATCCCCCCAAACATTTGAGTACGTTCAAATCAAGTGAATTTTGCGGCATCATTAGTTTAACACATTATTTTTAAAATTTGTTTGCCTCCTATCACTTTTTTCAAAAGACAGTTTTTATTGCGTTATAGCCCTTTTCATTAACCTTTAAAAAATTACGTACAACTAAATAAACGGCTTAAATGAATTAACAAGTAAAAAAATGTCTATAACCTCTATAAATATGATATTACAATAAATATTCAATATAACCACCATTTTCTTCAATACACATTCTGTATCGTTTTAATAAGGAAAACCGAATGCGCTGAAAAATCATATTTTTCTGACGAAATTGATTTGCATCTTTAATTATACTAACCCTCAATTGTTGTTCGTCCTTTGTTGCGGCGACTACGAACTGCCCCACGCTACATACGTACTTAGATAATATTTTTGTGAACATAATAGTTTTTATTTTACTTTCTTGTATTCAAAAAGGAACCCAATTCCCAAAGCATGAGCGAAAATTTTAAATGATTAAATAATGAAACTATAACAATAGAAGTAATCGAATAAAGTTTATTTATAAATCTACATTAACGTATATACAATAACAAAAACTACAGTTAAATAATAACAACGCTTAATTCTAATGTCAGACTAGTGATTCAAATAAGTAAGAGTGAACAGTTTATTTTAGATTTTAAAAGTTAGCTGCATAATAATTGCAAACTGACTTAATGAAGTCCAATTTAGTAATGTTTTGATTAACGTAATATTCATTTAGCCTATTTTCAATAAAATCAACTTTTCTTTTTGCCGTTTTATCAAGTTTTTTTTTTCAAATCTATGTGCAGTTCTAATTTTCACATATACTTCTGCTTGAAAATTTAACAAAATGTGTGTAAATTTAAATATGTCAGGATGTGATTTATAAAAACATTCGTTAAATTTATCAAAAGTACTTTTGTACGATTGCTGTGATTTATTTGGTAACAAACAAAATACTAGAGGAACATAAAAACCATTTTTGTAGCCATGTATAGTAAACATCTAACAAAAATATTTAGAACAGTATTGAAAAGTTCCATCTACATACAAAGAATCTACATTACACAAAAAGTAAAGATTTGTGAAACAACTAAAAATTGCGGAATTATTTTTCGTAGATAATAAAAAGTTTTCACCTATATTTGTTTTTAAATTTAAGTTCACTAACACTTGTAGAACTTCCTCCTGTGACTTATGCAATGATGGTGTGGATTTTCGTCTTGCAGCATAGATATTTCTTCGAACGCAAGAAATGTCTTTGGTCGTCAGCGGTAAATTGCTGAATTTTTCTTTTCTCAATTCCTTGTGGACAATCTTAAAAGGTTTTTCACATATATCTTCTACATCTTTTCTCTTTGTAGAACTACTAAAAATTTGCCGCTCTACGTGGATATCTGGAGCATGATTATGCTCCGATGCTTTTTCAAGAATAACATAATTTTCAGCACCTTCCTTTGTGTACACTTTTTGTTGACAGCCTTTTTTGATGCATCGCCATCTAACTTTTCCATCTTTGGAGACATGGTCTTTTGAATATTTATATTCATTAATTATTAATACCTAACAGTTCTTCCCTTTGACTAAACATAGTCGTTGGATTCGCCATTTAAATGTTAAACACAAAACTATACCGTAATACTTGCAACTGAAGTGAATAACTGAAAATGTTTATATTCTTATTTTCAACTATGATCAAATTTGGAATTTCCGGTCATTAAGACTTAATCCCCAACTTTCTCGGCGATGGGGCAATAGGTACTTCGGATTAAAGGCCCCAGGTAGTTCGTGGGGCAGTTCGTAGTCGCCCTTTTGTTGTTACAAAATACACTTTCTCTTTTATAAACCTCCAAAAGAAAAAGTCGATGGGATTAAGACCTGGCCTTCTCGGTGGCCAAGAAATAGGTGCGTCACGACCCCTTCCAATCCACCGACCAGGATACTGCCTGCAAAGGTATTCCCGGACTTCATTACTGTAATGCGGTGAAGTGCCATCTTGTATAAACCACATATTTTGCCTTATTGCAATATTCACTTTGTAGCGTTTTAAATTTTTATAATACGTCCCTGTTCGTTTATCTCGTCAGTACGCATAAAGATTGCCATAAAATCTGTGTTTGCCTTTTACAAAAATGTGTAAATAATGCTGGATATATTTTTTGTCTATGTGTACTTTCAAATCCCATAACCTTTTGTTACAAAGTCAGGTAGAACTTATTCCGGTTAGAATAATCAATAATACGTGTTATTTCTTCATTTTTAAAAGTAGTTTATTTGAAAGTCGCTTTGTAACTTAGTTGAGGCCTGTTTTAAAAACAAGAAATTAGGGTCGCCCACACCGATATTAGATTTAGATCAGGAGAGGCATTATTTTGCGTTTTTGGGTTTGAAATGAAACGAAGAGGAAGGAGGTTGAGAAGAATAACGAAACAGGAAGGTTGAAAGATTTGGCCAAAGAAGACAGAAGTCGTTATGTAGTTTTTGTGAAAAACCGGCAAATTTCTCGAAGAATAAGTGATGTACACCCAAAGTAATGTGTCAACTCTGATAGGGGTAATCACTGTTTTTTTTTTAATTGTAAGCCGTCTCTCATCATGAGATATTTAAAAACGGCGTTCCAAATAAATCACTACGTATTCCATTGTCCAGTTCCTTAAGAAGCCGTTCCGAAGTGTGCAGTGTCCCAATTTCAACCTCAAATAGTCAGAATATTTTTCCAGTGAGATGTAGTTTTTTTGATCGTGTGGCGGAGAAGGTAGCCAAAGAAATCTTAGAGTGTATACAGTGACATCCAGGTAACTTTTTTGTTTAAACTATTGAAGTAAAAATAAACATTCTAAAATAATAATTGGTTTCATAACCATTTAAATAATGTAATATGTATGGTTATGCTGTCAATCTATTTGTTCTTTGTCATCAAAATTAAATGTTGACATATGACAGCTAGATTTAATTTGTTTTTTTGTTGTGAAAATTGTTATTTTGCTTGTATAGAAAATATGTTTTATAGAAAATGTTTAACCTTACGATATTTTCATTTATAAGGATATCCTTAATTTTGATAATCTAGATTGGTCATATATAACCTAGAAACCATTTCAAAATTTTTGTAGCAATCTTTTATGTAAACAAAGAACATTTAAGTTTTAATTAATTAGGTTTATGTTGTATAATATGTTCTTGTAAAATCTGTATTTTTAATAACGGTTTGTTTGTTTGAGACAAAAATAAACGTTTACTTTGTTTCTCTGATCTATTTTGAGTTTCATTTGAAAAAGATATATTTTTGATGTTTTATAATTATTTCCCTAGTTACAACTAGTGGTTGTAATAGGTATAATTAGGCACCTTAAGTGGCGCCCTATATTAAATTCCTTGAGGTGTTTCCGGTTAATTTTCATTCTGTTTGTCCCAAGAGATTTGTATAAGTACCCCTTTATTTCCTTTTTTTGTAGTTGCCCCAATCCAACCCCCATATCTTCAACTTATCCACGACCCAGCTCTCCAACAACCAACTGAGTGCCGTACGCCCTAATTCCGATTATTTTGTTTGCCCAATCTTGTCCCCCATGTTCTTACCCTGTGGTAAGCAAAAAAGTCGTTACAACTTCTTCCAAATACTCCTGTAAATCGTTTGCCAAGAACTGCAAATAATTATTGCCATTTAAAGTAGGAAGAAATACTAGGCTTATTAGATTGTTATCCACAATTCATGCCCAAACATTAACTTTAAAAGTGCTTTGGTGATAAGTCGTTTTTTTGGCGTAAGGTAACCTCGTCGGCAAACAAAATATTTCTAATAAAATTAACATTTTGAGTGTTTTAGTTTAGAGTGATTAACAGCCAATCCAATCCACAAAATCCAATACTTTTAGGATAATCTTCATCTAATAACTCTTGAACTGTTGTTAAGTGATAGGGTTTAGCTGATCCTTCAAACGCCTTCAAACCCTTACGTGAGGAATATTTAATTGAGCAGCCATTGCCCTTGTACTTGTTCCAGAGACTTCTTCAATGATTTCTAGAATCTGTTCATCAGTTGCATCCATTATTAAACGACCACTATTGCCAGCAACTTGCGGTTGGAATGTACCCGTCTCCCGTAAACGACGATCAATTGTCAGAAATAATCGTCGTTCGGGTGTATTTCGATTGGGGTATTTTACTGCATAACGCCTTGCGGCTGCTGCACTCTGCATCTCCCTGATATTCACCTACGATATACATGATAGTTTTTTGAAATCATAATTTAATCTGATCCAACTTACCCAAAGGTAAATGCATATCTGTGATTTCCTAAAATATGTTGGCCATTAATACTATTTACACAATAAATGATAGCTTAACTATTTGTAATTGTTGTATCCGTAGAAACTAATTGTAATTTTATGGAAAAACTAGAAAAAACTAGTTTTTCGAAAAAGTGATAGGATTCAAAAAAGTTTTAAAAATTATGTGTTAAACTAATGACATCTAATAATCACAAAATCCATTTGATTTAAACGTACTCAAAAGTTTGGGGGGGTTTCGGGTTGCAAACCCCCTTTAGATTTTTCTGTGCGCTTAGATTTTGCTGTTTCTTTTGTATGAAAAATGCTTTCAGAACAAGAAAGAAACGTGTTCATTTTTATTACAAAATGTCAAGTAGTTTAGAAGATAATGCAAAAAATTAATTTTTATTTTGTAACTTCAAAGGGCTGTAATTTTTTTGTGTACACTTTTGTACTAAGTTAAATTGGGTTCAATCAATTTATTTTTGTCCCCGGAATGCTTGATTTAATTTATGACATACCTTTTTGAAACACCATGTACATTATTATTTTATTGTATTATTAAACACAAGAAGAATGCTGTGTGATATCCGCCGCAATACGCGAATCAAAGAGCTCTAAGGAAGAGCGGCAAACATTCCATCAGAAATGAAAGGCTTTGATGATTTTGTATTATTAAAATTAGTACTAGGGCTGGTCCCAAAACGGGATAAAAACTTGAAAGTATCATAATAAGCATTTTATAAGCATTTTCTCTTATTTTTGCTTCTAGTTATTACTATTTAAAAAGCCACAATTAAAGGTAAAAGATAGTTTATTGACGTTTCAATTTCCACCTCGAAAATCGTTCACAAAATATGAACCTTAGTTTGTAAAATGTTAGTCATAATCCGCCTTTATTGTCTACAACTATGCCTGTATTGCGTTATTTTTTGGTATTCTGTACCTCTTTAATTTTTTTGTGCATATGAAAATCATCATTTTTGCGTTGTAATTGTTTTATTGTGTTGTATGTTAATGGTATAATATTTTCTAAAAGCTCCACAGAATATTTATTTGTTCCTACTAATTATGCAACCAATCATACACATCGAAACTTTTGTCCAAACACAGAATTATAAATTTATGACCTATAGGGAACTAGACTAAAGGATTGCGCATTCGCAACAATTTAAAGTGTCAAACTAATTTATAAGGCCCGCAATGTTATCTCGGAGGCGCTTCATTAAACTTATAACAATTCATTTCGATCTCCAAGAAAAGTATCGTAAGTTTTTGGATATATTTATTTTAATTCGATATATTGATGCAAGTGAATTATAGAGGATAAGACTTTTTATCTATAAACTTTGATATAATTATATTTTTTGCAAGCAAAATGGAACTATTACTTTATAATTAAAGAAGTTTTACATAAAACAAAAAGGATATTACTGTACAAAAAACTTGAAATATTGAAAGTCATAAAAAACGTTCAATACTGATATTTCTGTAATAAGTATAACTCTTCCCTTTAGTGGAGTACATATATTTCTTTTCTGTAGAGGGTTAAACAAAGTTAACTAGAAGAGATTATCTTTATATGTGAAATGTGAGAATGGTGTAGGTGAAAAGACGTAGGTGCTGATGTGAAACAGGAAGATGTTTTTAGAAATGCTAAAGAAATATCATCAGGTTCAGATGCTAAGGAATATCATCAGGTCCAGGATCACTATCCTTCAGATTATGTCATGGATTTGTGATCCTTCCATAAGAAGATATAGGATGGATTAAGACATTATTTTGAGCTTCAAACGGATGAACGGGGTTTTGTTTGACGAATTCTTTGGCGTTAATAAAATTGGCTGTGTACTGTTGCGTTGGTTTGATAAATGACCGGCAATGATTGATAAGTTCTTACAGCGAATATTTAAAATCACTCTCATTGTGATGTAATGCGCGAACTCGTCCCAATTTCGCACTCGGAAGTATCATACCTGTTATTCTTTGTACCATGGTTACATGTATCAATGTTAGGGGGCTTGAAATGAAGGTTGAACTTGGTAGACAAAATTTTACACAACTGACAGGCGGTTGTCCATAGAGATTGGACCATCTTTTTAAGAACTAGTGCGCCATGCAAATAAGAGCGATGTACCACATAGGGCTTTTTGCAACAAATATCATAGTGGACATCCGATTTGAAATTTTAGTAATAATACCTTAAGTGTATTATTGGCTGCATACTTCCAGTCACTGTGAAAATGGACTTCCACTCTTTCAGTTCTAACGAACAGAATTATTTAAATAATTCATATTAGATTCAAAGTTGCATGAAAAAATATTTGAAAACCCCATTTTACGCATATACATACTTCTATGTGTATTTGATGTTGCCTGCAACTAGGCACCTCACTAAACAGCCTTGCATGCTTCTTAGGACGTGTATATTGTACTGCCTACATCTTGGCGTTAGTCATAAGCAAAGAAAACACAAAATAATGTTGGAAGATTTTTATTGAGCCAAATTATATTTATAAAACTACATTTTCTTTTAAATTTTACTCGTACGTTTCTCTAGTATTAATATAGATATCTACTGATTAAAATTTTTAAATTTTCAATAACATTTCACGATAAAATTTTGTATTGAATTAACTACGACATAGTTTTGATATTATTGTATTTATATTTTACCGAGAATATTATGGATTATAATATGACGTAAGCCAACAGTAAGTAAACTTGTTAATATTTTTTATTTCTAATAGATTTAAACAAAAAAGGAAAAGTTGTTTTTTTTTCATTTTTACAAATTTGGAATGAAATAGATAAGTATTATGCCGGAATGACGTATTTTGATTTCTGTAGATGAAAAGTATAAAGGGCTAACTAATACTTTAGCAACACCATTTCTAAACCGGAAGTAATGTTACTGACCGGATTGTCAATATTTTGACAGATGACAAGAAAGGGTTAAGAATGGAGAGTAGTCATAAAAACAAAAAACGGTATAAAAAAAGTATTTAAAGCAATATTTTTCATATTCTAGTCCGAACGTATCAAAAATCTCAATATTAGCAAGTTTCTTTATATAATATGTACAGGGAGTGCAAAAAATATTTTTCAGTTAAATTTAACGTAGACAAAAATTTAATAGGAAAAAAATGTGAACACCCTGTATACATCACATTTCTCTTCAGCTTCAAAATTATTTTATATATACCTAAACATATTTCAAGTGTTTGTGGCTTAAATTGTATTAGGGATTTAGAGATAAATATAAACAGTCGATTTTGATTTATTAAGTCATTAAGATAGGTAAGATATGTAGCTTAAGACAGTCCTTTAGTATTGTGCTAAAACTTTCATTTAATACCCGTTCTAAATGCTATGTTCTAAAAGGTGGAGGCGAAAGAGGCAGAATAAAATTATACTAATGGTACAGTACTTACAGGCCTATTATTTTTTGATAATCCATAATATTCCGACCATTCTTACAAAAATAAAAATCTTTTACAACATTTAAATAGTAAATAAATATTAAAAACGTTCAGATGCCATCACATCACACTACCCTCGATATATATATATATATATATATACTATATATATATATATATATAATATATATATATATATATATATATACACCTTAATTATTATAGTTTCAAATTACAAAACTAAGTTAATAAAATATTAGGACGTTTCTCTTGATAGACTAGGACCTGCTCTTTCCGCATCTCGATAAAGTTCCAATGGAATCGCTTAAATAAGTGTCCAACTCAACTTTTATTCTTTTTAAAAATACTATGAACTGATAAAAGATGTTAACATTTATTTTCTCACTCCTACAAATGGTATTCAGCTGGACAAAGTGCTATCGATATTCCCCGCTTCTAATGAGCAAATAACTTGTTTTGAGCAAATAAATTACAGCCAATTCGAAGGAATAACTAAATTTTACAGTGGTACCTCAACATAGTAGTGTAATTCGTTCCGTAATCTTGCTCATATGTCAACGTAATTTTCCCCATTGAAATTAACTGAAATGTCATTAATCCATTCCAGTTCCCAAAAAAAACACGTTAGTTGTTAAGATGATAAAATACGTGCATAACAAAAATGTATTTAAAAGAAGAAACATTTATTTATAAGTAACAAAAAATACATACATATTCTTTAAAAACATAAGAAAAAGTGAAGTGATTTCGGTGTGATTTTTATCCACGAACTCTGCAGCTTAGTCACACATTACTTTATATCTCTTTTAGAGACAACGTCGTCCAATTCTTTCTCCTCTTCAAAACTAACTTTTCGTTGAACCACCGCATGTTACTGATAATGTAGTTCGTCTATCTACTTGGTTGACAGGTCCTGAGACTTTTTCTCGATAAGTTCGTTTACATCTCTTTCCTCCAGAACCATGGATTTTCCAAGAGAAACAATCTCACCTACCACTGACACTTCAGGTTCCAGTCCTTCGCAGGCCCTTTCATCTACATCCCCAGGCCACAGCTTCTTCCATGCACAGGTTAAGGTCCTTGTTGTAGCATCTAACCAGGTCTGCTCAATAATTCTTAGGCATATTACTATGTTAAAGTGGTTCTTCCAGCATTCTCGAAGGGTAACGTTTGTGTCCGCCGTCACCTCCAAGTAGCGCCGAAAAATGTGCTTGGTATACAATTTCTTAAAATTAGAAATCACTTGTTGCTCCGTGGGCTGCAAGATAAGAGTGGTATGCGCTGGTAGAACTTGAACCCTTGGAGTAAATCATCTGCGAGATTTGGTGAGAGAGGGGCATTATCGAGGATAAGAAAGATTTGCATGGGTAGGTTGTTTTACTGTAGATATTTTTTAACAGAATGGGCAAACACCAGGTTTATCGACCCCACAAAATATTTCCTGGTGACCCACGCCTTTCGATTTGCCCTCCACATAACTGACAGTTTCTCTTTTAAAATCTTATGTGACTTAAAGGCTCTGGGATTTTCTGAATTGTACACTAGAAGAGGTTTAATTTTAGAGTCGCCACTCGCATTCGCGCGAAGTAGTAGAGTTAATCTATCTTTCATAGGTTTGTGACCTGGAATCGTCTTCTCCTCTGCCGTTATGTTTATAAGTCCTATTCGGCATCTTTTTCCAGAAAACCCCAGTCTCGTCACAGTTGAAGACTTGCTGGAGGATGTATACTTTGGCTTCTATCAGTTTTGAAAACGTTTTGATGTAAGCCTCAGCTGCTTTCACATCCGAACTTGCTGCCTTACCATGCCTGACGATGGAGACAACGTCAGGCAAACAAAGTCTTCCGATTCATCATTTGTGGAAGTGTGTGAGATCTGTTTCAGCAAATCTTCGTAAATCGCTCGTGCCTTCTCACATATCATGCCTTGTGTTAAGGTTCCCCATTGAAGCTGCTTCTCTGTCACCCACACCATTAGTAGTTTCTCCATCTTTTCATGGCGAGAGGTCCGGAGCTTAGAAATTATTATAACGCCCTTAGCAGGCATTATACCATTTATCACCTTCCGTTTAAGCACAGTACATATCATTGATGTGGTACGCTTTTGCATCCTCGCCAAGTGAGTTAGTCGTACATATTGCTCATGTTTTTCAAAGATTGCACGTTTTAGTTCAATAGACATCATCTTCTTCTTCGAATCCATGGTTTTAAAAATAAATGTAATATTGTAATGTACAAAAAACAATGGCCAATGGCCATTTAATTTGTCGGTCCAAGTAATAGTCACGTACAGACCCGTAAAATGATCTTTATGGCGAGGTCATAAAGATCTATTACCAGTAAAACCACCTTTTATTTACAAAGCAAATTAGAAGTAGTCAAATCTTCTTCTTATGGTGCCCTAACCAATTAGTGGATGTTGGCGACAATTCTGGCATACTCTCTCGATCTTGTGTGGCTCTAAAGAGTGCATGGGCATCGAGGTTTGTCCAATCCCTTATGTTTTTAAGCCATGAGTATTTCTTTCTTATGATGTCCCGTTTTCCTTCTATCTTCCCTTCCATAATAAGCTTTAAAAATTGGTACTTGGAATTCCGCAATATATGAACCAGATAAGCAGTTTTTCTTCTTTTTATTATTGGCAGCAATTCTCGTTCTCTGCCCATTCGATTTAATACTTCGACATTTGTTGTGTGATCTGTCCAGGTAATTTTAAGTAGTCTTCTAAATACCCACATTTCAAAGGCCTCCAATCGGTTCATCGCATTGGCATTTATGGTCCAGGTTTCTACACCATATAGCAGTGTATGGAGAATCAAATAAGAGGTATGAATTTGAATAAAAACCGACTCCTCTCAAATCTTGCTCTCACCTCAAAGCAAAATATCGCTCGGTCCGCGGCTCGTATCTCAAAAGATTGGTATATAAAGGCTTCCCCACATTGGCTCAAAACCCAACGCGACTGTTCGCGATACAAATGTGAACAAATTATATTTTTAGTCGTTTATTCGCAGCTTACAAATACATAATGACTTCGTCTGATGAAGAAGAAGCTCTTCTACCATTGGCACTTGCCGAAACTGAAAAAAAATATACCTGTGATGTCCTACAGGCAGTATGCAAAACATACGGAGACAGTTGCAGATATCATCAACCAAACACTTTGTGATTCCTTAGAAGAGGCTGGACGGGAGGAATTAGCTTTAGCCAAAGAAATTGGTGAAGTAGATTCCGACGGAAATGGGTTAATAACCGTTATAGCTGATGGTGCTTGGTCAAAAAGATCGTACAAAGTAAACTACGATGCTTCTTCAGGTGTAGTACCTGACGTTGTAAAATTTATTAAATTAGTACGCCTTTGATGGATAGGACATGTAATTAGGCGAGATGAAGATGAAACGATCAGAAAAATTTTCGACCGAAGAGGACCAGTGGGAAGACAATCCAGAGGAAGACCAAAACTTAGGTATCAAGATAACATAGAGGATGATCTAAAATCCATCGGAGTTAAAGCATGGAGAAAGTTGCCAGAGGCAGGGGCGAATGGAAGATTGTTCTGAAGAAGCCTTTGGCTCATGACGAGTTGTAATGCCACTGATGATGATGAAATAACTATCCACGATTTGTGTTTTATTCATCAATTGGATACTTTTCTTATGTAACTGCAACCTATAAATATATTAAAATAATGTATATTCCATTCAGAGAACTTTTTCCTCGCAGTGCGTCGCCTCGAAATACTTGCGAGATAAATACATTTACTATTATGATGGTTTCGCAGGTACCAATTTTTTATAGATAAATAAAAATATTTTTTGTTTAATTTTTACTACGCTAATATCAGTTTGTGATCACAAAATGGAGCGGTTGGTGGTCCAAGGAAGGCCTCAGACTCAACGCCAACGCGGAAGATCTCCACAGCGATGGGCGGACATTACTAAAAAGCTTCTCAATAAACAGTATACTGAGGCAATACATATAACTGATGACCGCGAACAGTGGAGAAATATTATCAATCAAACTGTCCGAGCTGCTGAAGCCCAATTATGAACCACAACACATCTACTAAGATGTTAATGACTGTGATGATGAATATCAGTTTTCTCCAACAAATAAATAATTTCTTGAAATAATTTTCAAGCTATAACTGCGAAATTGTTTATTTGTTTGTGACAACAAATTGTAATTTTTTGATAATAATATTCTTATGTTATTTTAAATTTATTATAAATAAACACCATGGTGTTTTTTGCAGTCACGTTTCACAAATTTTTATTCAATACTATGTTTAGCTAAGACATATAAATTAAAAATGTGATTAATTCTTTTTAAAACATTATCTACGATAATCAATCTTAAAAAAAGTATTCCGACAAAACTAATTTGAATGGAGAATAATGCATTTATTGTCATTAAACAACCCGTGGGCCGGCGCCACTGAATAAACATCGAAACTGCAGATTTCAAATTAGAAAGTCACGTAGGGTCTGACATAAGCAGTGTAGAAAAGTAAGTGATACGCCCACTTCAAATCGCAGTATGCTATAACTGCGAGAACAGCCTTAACTGTCTTGTTAAATTTGTTTCATGTATAGGCAACCAATACTACGATTTCATGAATAATTCGCCCAATTGTCTTTCAGATGGAAGCAACCAATACTACATTTCTTGAATATAATATAGATTTTATTATTTTTTTTTTGGTTTTTTAAGATGTTATTTAAATATTGATGTTATTTTGGTGTTTCACATTGTTTTGTAGACGTTTATGAGCATGTTTGATGATACATTTTCATAATCTCAAAATTAACGACACTACTTGCAGTATTTCATTATATTATCATAGTCCTTTAATTCAATAATTATGATAATTCCAAAAACTCGGAACGTTATCGAAAAAGGAAAGAACAGGCAAAACTATAGCTAATGCGCAAACATATTATTTAAAAGAAATCACTTGCTGTACACAATTTGGATTTATTTTCGGATAAAACTAGTATCTCTTTATGACTAGATTGAAATTTCAACAACAAAATATAAAAATAAAATCTCTTAAATTTGTAAAAGTAACACAAAACAAAAAAACGTAAGGGGGACAATTAAAAAAACTATTGTTATGGAAGGAATTAGGAATATTGTAGAAACATGATCCTGACAATGCAATCCTTGATATTTTAAACGTTTTTCTAGACCATTTCGTCAGGTTTTTGTGATTAGGTCTACTTGACACTACCAACCTTCCTTTTATGATGCTATGAACCTCCTTTTCAGTCAAACCTTTGGTTTAATATGCATCAATCTTTTTATCTACGGTTCAATTAAATCAAACCTCTCCTAATCACTTTAACGTTATTACTATAACGGAGCTATTTGCTGTGAGACTCAAACTTCGATAAGTTATACAGTTGAAAGTAGACGTGAGTGGATTAGTCTACCCTCCACCACTTTTATAAATGCAATAAGGCTACATTGAGCACAACATTTATCGGTAGTGTATCGTTAGCTTCAGGAAGACAATTATAGACATGAATATGTCAACAGTCAACGTCAAATGTCGCTTGTCTGACTGGCTTTCTTCTGTTGACACAATCCATTGCAGAAATTACGCGATATTTAACGACGGAAAATTAAAAATATCCTAAATGGTAACGTTATTTTCACAATCTTATATTTATTAGTGTATGGCAAGTGTTTCGTCTTTTAAGTTACATAAAACTGAACTTTTTAACTAGTTAAATGCATTGACTTAGAGCTAAACTTGAGCATTCGGCCTATATTATAGCTACACAACTTTTAAAAGCCATATTTATCACTTATGTAACGACAAGAACAAAAATATACGGGGTTCAGAAAAGCGGTCGAAAGATCTTCACAATTATTATAAAATCAATCAAAACAATTAATAATTACTAAATTATGAATAGAAAGCAATAAGAGAGACCTGTATAAATATGTACAGGGTGTGCGAAAATGGTTTCCAAAACAACTGCATATTATGAAACTGATTTTATGCTTCAGATCTTTAAATGCGATATTTTGAGATGTTTAGATCTTCTGTTGAGTTTTACAGTTATATTTTCTTGCAAAAATCCTTGCACACCCTGTATTTATGTGCAAAGCAAAGATACTAGTGTAAAAACTGTCATACATTTTTCATATTTGGTCCCAGTGAAGATAGCCTCAAATAAGCTGTCAATTAAGTTTCACAGAACGAAATATTGCGTTAGCATTGTTGCCATGTCCTTAAAAGATATATGTTATATGCTTCAAATACAAAGAGAAAAAGCTTTTAAAACGTTTCTGCTATTATATTATTTTGTGGATTCCGCAAGTTTATAACTTATATAAAATATTAATGAAATAATATTTGTTTCTTTTAATATTAATTGCAATTAATTATTAGAAAAATTTTTACAATTATTGACAAATGACAATTGCCCTTTGATAGGTTAGATTTGGCAATAGAGTCAGAACCCTCAAATCACCAGTTACCAGATAGATGCATCAGATGTCTTTTTAATGTTATTATTTATACTGACATTTTACTATTTACTTTTAAAAACTGTTTTGAAACTATTTACTTTTTCTTTTTTGGTAATTCTAAGTACTAATTTTTAAATATCTTTTTTATTGCATATGTTTCATTTGTAATATAAATTTCAACACTGCCAAACACCAATATAACGTTCTGTCAAAGTCATTTGAGGCTATCTTCACTGGGACCAAATGTGAAAAATGTCCAAACTGTCACACATTTGTTTATTTTGCACAAGTTTCTATTTTTTAGATGATTTAACACCCAAATGCATTTTCAATATCTGAAACTGAATATTTAACTACAAAAATTATAGAGGACCACCATATCGACAAAAATTAAAAACTAAGACAAAAGGAAGAAAAAAATTTCACAGATTGAAACAGAAAACCGTCTACTGTAACTGCCACGAGAACGGAAGAGGCAGTTGTATTAACAATACAGAAAAAAACTGTCAACTGTCACTTCTTGTCAAATGACAACTGCATATGTCACTTCGTTGAAAAAGTCTTGTATTTGTAAATTGATTGACAAAATGACAAGTACCTAATGGAAAAGAGTGTCTTTAGATCGAAGATTCTTTGAGTTATTTAATTATTCTGTAATATAACCACAATATTTTTAACGAAAATCGTAGAGGCAGCAATACTTGAAACTAAGACCAAAGGAAGAGAAAAATTCCCTTTTGCCGTGCTGTTAGAAGATAGAACTAAATAGGCACTGACAGAGAGCAATTGTCAATTGTCACTTGTCTTCTACCAACTGTCATATATCACTTCGGTGAGGAAATTGTATTGCCATGCACCAAAATAGCCGAAAATGTCATGGAATGTTTGTATATGTTTAAAAATCATTTTTAGTAAAATAATTATATAATCTTGACCTATATTTTCTAGATTTCTTCTTAAATAAACTCCTATAGTAACAATCTTCACTTGACCGTCTTCCTAAACCCGAAAATACTGTCATAACTTCAAAACCTTAAAAGCTATCAAGTCGAATCAGTAAAGGCTCAAACGAAGATAACATCACAACCTTGGATTTCTTTCTAACTTTACCGCTGCCACTCCTAGAGGAGTACTCGGATCAAGGAACCATGACGCGGCACAAAGACGGGAATATCTCGGCTTGAATGGGACCGTACTCGACCAGTTCACCGTCGACGGTTATGTAGCCCTCTTCAGTCATGTCCGGCTCTATTCGGAACGCGTGTACGGGGATGAGTTCTACGAGGCCGTCGAAGGATTTTGAAGTGGCGTGGGCGCCGGTGCTGAGGCCGAGCAGGAACTGGAGGAGTTGAGATCTGGTTGCTCCGGCACGAACTATCAGTAACCTAAAAAAAATTAGTTTATGTTTACTAAATAGCACAATATTATTGAAACGTCGTTAATATTGTTAATATAATCTAAATTATTAAGGGCATATGCGCAAACTGTCGCTTGTCAAAATGTTCAATGTGTTTTAAATGTATTAATTTTTCGAATTAGAGAAAACTAATAAGTATATTTGTAAAACTTAAACGTATAATGAAAAATTACGTTATTACCGAGGGCTTAAAATCCCTGAAAACTATAATGTTTATTTTAGTAAGTTACAGCGGTGAAAAGAAAAGAGAATATTTAGTGTGACTTTTAATTTCAAATATCTCAATATTGTTCTGAAGCTATTTTCTTGTGGCATTTTAAATTAATTACTATTTAACTGGGAATAGGCCACAATTAAAGGTTAAAATACGTTTTTATGTGATGTGTCTAAAATTCTCGACCTACAGTGAGAGATTGGCACACAATCCAACTAGAAAGATGGAAGTATTACTTACCATATCTTCCCATCGTTTAACGTAGCATCCGGAGCGAACAGGCAGTCTTCCCCGAGATGGCTTTGATATGAAGCGTGGACCATGACGAACCGGCCCGATATACACTCCCACTTCGTCGGGAGAGGTGCTAATACTGCTGGTATTTGAGAAGCGGGGCCGTACATTCGGGGTCGCTCGGCGGGATTCGGCGACGCACCCACTGCGCCGGCGCTGTCTGCCGTCGATTGGTAGGAGCTGCCGGTGGCGGAGAAGTAAGCGCTTCGTCGAGAGTTTGCGCTGTACCATGAGTCCACTCGCGGTCGACCTAGAGTGCGAAATAAAAATATAAGCTAGACGGAAATTTGTACAAGAAAAATTATACAAGCTAAGAAAGAGTCTCAGAACCGTCACAAAATTAGCAGTCTTTTTATACTCGCTATATTTTAAAATTGGATTATATCGTCACATATTGCAATCCGGCTCGAAGGATCAATGTTTAATTTGAAAGTCATTTAGTAAAAATATGCAGTCTATTGTATGTTATTATAAAAGTCATAATGAGGCAATCAACTAAATAAATAAAGCGATTTCCAAGTTCAGTATTGGGAGCTTAAAAATAAAGAATTCACATACTTTCCATTTAGGATGGCCAATGCATACTTTACAGTCGATTTTTGCTCTAGTTTGGTCGTTTATGGGCGTTATGTATATGAATAATTTCCTAAATTTTCAAATTAAGTAGTTAAAATACTCAATCTTCTTCTTCCTCTTTATAAGCAATTCTGCTTGTTCACTGGCAGATTAATACCTCTATGGAATGTTGTCACTTTACCTTTTGCGCGGTCGTCCGATATTTTCTTTTGCCGCTTATGTGGGTTTTTCTATTCTTTTTTTTCTATCTTTGTAGCGTTTTTTTTATTTATTGTGTATAGAAAAGATTTCTGTGTTACGTCCCTGTTGTTTTTACCAAAGAAAACAATCGAAATAATATTTCAAGTTTTTTTTGACGAGATTTTTAAATGCGTATTAACGCTGGAAATATGTTTTTATCTCTGTGTTGCAATGTTAGGTAAAATAACAAGTTTTTTGTCGCCAAAGAGGTATTATGTTAAAACGCAATAAACCATGAATTCCCCTAATATTAAAGTTGTTTTTCGTTATTAGTCGAGGGTCAAAAAAAGAATATTTGTTTGTTTAGGCAATAAAGGAACATTTAAAATTTGTTTTTTTTGTCGATACGAGCGAGGGGATATTGTTTTGGTTCTTGAGTTTGTGGGGACAGGTTAGCTGCAAGACGGAAGGGAAATTTTTGGCGAGTTTCTTGTAAAATGTAACGAAGCAAGAGAGTCGAGATTTAAGTTCCAAGCGGGGCAGACAGTGTACAATGTGAGTCGACATTTAGAGTTTCAAACGGGGCAGACATGTGACAAAGGAGTCGACAGTGATAAAGAAGTCGAGATTTGAGTTCCAAACGGGGCAGACATGTGACAATTGAGTCAAAGATTTGAAAAGAGTCGAGATTTAGATTCCAAGCGGGGCAGACATGTGATAAGTCGAATTAGTTCAAGGGCAGAATGTGATAAGGAGTCGAGATTTAGATTCCAAGCGGGGCAGACATGTGATAAAGAGTCGAGATTTAAGTTCCAAGCGGGGCAGACATGTGACAATAGGGTCGACTGAGAGATTTCAAACAGGACAAACGTATTAGTTATGTAGTTTGCAAAAGTCGACAAATTTTGTTAAATAGTGGAACAATTACTCTCTGTAATATGACAGATTTAGAAAAGGGTAGCCACTAAATATTTAAAGGATTTGTGCAGATACCAGAATATGGAAAATATTTAAAGTATGATATAGGATGTCCCCGTAGTCGGCTTATTTCTTCCACTAAGTTCCTGTTCCAATCGTTTTGTCCTGGAGTGTAGAACTAAATCCTGATGGTTGCTGCCTTCCAGTTTTGAAAGTTTTGTCCGAGTAGCTTCCCCAGAGATGTAAAGTTTCAAAGTGTTTGTATAAAAAAAAACATTAAGGTAACAATTCAATATATTAATCTTTCAAAGTAAAGACAGATATTTTTTGGCTAAAGTAATAATTGCTTTCATTCTTTGTCATCAAAATTAAATGTGATACCTGACAGCAAGCTTAATTTGTTTTTTTGTTATGACAATTTTAATTTGATTATTATGTAGAAACGATATTTCATATATAAGGTTAAATTTATATGTTTTCATTAAGAAGGATCCTTAATTTTTGATAATCTAATTGGCCATAATATAGTAAACAAAGAACATGTAAGTTTTTGTTATTTGTATTATGTTATATGATATGTTTCTTTTATAATATGTATTTTTGATCTGTTTTGTTTGAGACAAAAATAAATGTTTAATTTGTTTCTCTGATCTGTTTTGAGTTTTATTTGAAAAAGATATTTTTTTTCTATATTTTTGATGTTATACAATTATTTCCCTAGTTACAACTAGTGGTTGTAATAGGTATAATTGGGCACCTCAAGTGGCGCCCTATATTAAATTTCTTGAGGTGTTTCCGTTTATTTTCATTCTGTTTGTCCCAAGAGATTTGTATAAGTACCCCTTTATTTCTTTTCTTGTAGTTGCCCCAATCTAACCCCCAATATCTTCAACTTATCCACGACCCAGCTCTCCAACAACCAACTGAGTGTCCGTATGCACTTGTTTCGATTATTTTGTTTGCCCAATCTTGTCCCCCATATTCTTACCCTGTGGTAAGCAAAATAGTCGTTACATCTTGTATCCATTCATTTATATACTGTACGTTACATTTTCTTCTAATGTCTTCAAAAATTCGAGATTGAGCGCTTTCTGGATCTTCTTCTTCTTCTTCAGATGCAAATCCACTAATGGATGTTAGCGATCACATTTTCCATTAATTCTCTATTTCTTGCAATATGTATCAGAGATTGTATGTCGTTAATCCCTGTCTATTGCCTTATGTTTCGGAGCCAGGACATTTTCTTGCGTCCCATTCCTCTCTTGCCTTCAATTTTACCCTCGATTATAAGATGGAGGAACTGGTTTTTTTCATTTCGCATGATATGACCTAGATACGCCGTTTTCCCATCCGCCATGCCGCCATCCTTTTCTTGATGGTTTCGAAAGTTGCCGTTTCTTGGTTTATTCTTTTAAGGACATCTATATTTGTGATTTTCGCTGTCCATGGTATTTTTAGGATACGGCGATAAAGCCACATTTCGAAATCTGTTTATATCCGTCGTTTTGACTGTCCAGCCATATAGCAGCACTGACCATACGTAGCACTTAGTAAACCTTAGTCTCAGTTGAAGATCAAACTCTGAACAAATCAGTACTTTTACGAAAGCTTGTCGAGCTTGCTCAATGCGACATTTTACTTCCTGTCCGATGCCCAGTCTTCAAAAGCCACGATCCCAGGTATTTAAATTTACTCACTCTTTCAATGGACTTAGTATTCAGTGTTATGGTAGAGTTTTCAAGTGCATCTAAGTTTGTGGAGATGATCATAAATTTGGTCTTTTTGGTATTAATCTCTAATCCATTCGCTTACTGTATTCTCCGATTATAGTGACAAGTTGTTGAAGATCGACTATGTTGTCACAAATTAAGACACCATCATCAGCATATCGTAGGTTGTTGATCAATACTCCATTCACCTTGATTCCCTTCTCTGCATCCTCCAAAGACTCTTGAAATATGGCTTCCGAATAAATGTTAAATAAAGAGGGGAAAGCACACATCCCTGTCGAACGCCTCTTCTTATATGTGGGGGTTTGGATATAGAATTGTCTATTTTTAACTGTGCCGTTTGATGCCAGTACAAGTTTTCAATGCAACTTATGTCTTTTTGGTCTATATCAACTTTCTTGAGAATCTGCATTAACTTGTGGTGTTGGACATCGATCAAAACGCTTTTTGGTAATCTAAAAAGCATAGGAACACATCCTTCCTCTGATCGTAACAATTTTGGACCAGCACCTGTGTTGCTACTATTGCTTCTCGTGTTCCTAAACTTTGCCTAAACCCGAACTGGGAATCACTGATGTCCCATTCACATTTTTTGTATAATCTTTGATGTAGTATTATTAAGAATATCTTTAAAGTGTGACTCATCAGGCTAATGAGTCTGTGATCCTCACATCTTTTTGGATTGACTTTCTTGGGCAGGGGAATAAAGGTAGAGCGTAACCACTGTTGAGGATAGCAGCCAGTTTCATAAATTAAATTAAATATTTTGTGTAGTGCTGAAATTCCCTTTCATCTGGTATTGTATTCTTCTTTTATTTATCTTTTTAGCTGCCTTTGGAAAAAATGATAATATAAATAATGATTCTGATATCTCGGATGCTCCATCAAGGTTCTAATTTGAAGCAGCATTTGGTTTCTGGCGCAGCCAGAGATTCTGAAGGGGTCTAACCGGAACCGCCCAACTAAGATCTTTCATCTCTAAAACTGTGATTGAATTTTTCTTCTTCTAAGGCGTATTCCTTAAATTTGAGACTCTTTCCAATAATAAGTTAGTCGAGATCAATTTTTTAACCAATTTTGGGTTAGTTTTTATCATTTTCGCTTCAAATATCTTCAGAAATCAAAGCTTGGGCGGTTTCTGGATAATATTCTTATTTCATTTATTCTTTTCGTTGACTGTGAACAGATTTGTGGTACAAAGTATGAGATTCTGGAATCTTGGTTGATCCAGCATAGACGTAAAGGCTTTGCTAATATCCTGGGGCAACAAGAAAGTTTCTGAAGAAACCAAAGCCCACCCTTGTGTGCCGATATTGAGCTTTACAACTGTAATGCATTAAATTCTTCTTTTTCTGTGACCTAATGTAGACGAGACAATAAATAAAGCGAAAAAGATCAAAAATATATGTAGAAAACAATACAATGAACGTTAAAAATTCTATGAATATGTAATTTACCTGCTTTAGTTTCTAAATTGACCTCACTTGGAAGATCAACGTTGCTGCCTACTATGCTAGAAAAAACAAGGTTGTTGTGTTGTTCTACTAGAGGAAGTTCGGCCGGTAAGTACCACAGTTTTCCTCCGTAACTTCGAAGGCCGATAAGCCTCGCCAGGGACCAAATGGTAAACCTGAAATGTTGTATAGATATCGAATGTTAAAAGAGATAAAATATAATGCTTAAAGTATGATTTTTAATTTAATATAAATGCGTTTTATAATTTAGTAAACTATCTTTGATGTATGAACTCTGACTGACGCTCTCAATGTTATGGATCGGACAATGACGTCTTGAGCGCACTTTTTGTCATTGATAATCTTTTAAGCGCTTTTCGTTTTGTTGATCAGTTAATTGCTTTTGTTCAGAGCTTCTGACAGTGTCTTGCTAGTTTTACAACCATTTTATGAAAGATTTGCTAATTTATTTGCGCTTTTATCACTTTTTCGTTACATTTGTTCATTTTTCGTTGTTTTCAGGCTTTACGACACTCTCTTGTTGTTTTTGGCGCTTTTATAAACATTTCATGGTACTTTTTACAATGCATCGTCAATTTCGAGGTTCTTTTCACAGGGTATCACTTTTACAAGCGTATTTTGTTTATTTTGACTATTTTTGACTAATTTTCGTTACAACAGGCATTTTTAGCATTATTCTGCAGTTCTTCCGAGTGTTTCGTTGCTATTATAACCCACTTTGACAATTTTCTGAAGCAATTTTTTGTTAGTTTTCCAACGCTATTTACGACTTTATCGTTGCTTTGGATATTTTATATATTTTATACCACATTTTTGACAATTGTCGACAATAAGTCACTTTTCCGACTCTATATAACATAGAGTCGCTTTTCCGTCTCTTTTGAAAGTGTTTCGTCGCTTTTAGAAAATTGTTCATTACAATTGGCACTTTTCCTTCGCTTTTAACACTATTTCGCAGCTTTTAACAGAGTTTCGTCGCTTTTACAATTCATTTTGACAATTTTTCGTCGCTTTCGATAATCCTTTAGCTTTTTCCGTCTCTATCCAACACTTTTCGCAATACTTTTTTGCTTTTAGAAAATGTTTGGAGGTTGCGGCATTTTTCATCGTAGAAGATTCGATTTTGACAGAGTTTCATGGCTTTTACAATCGATTTTGATAATTTCCGGGGCATTTGATGATGTTTTCGTATTTTCGACTCTTTCCATAACTTTTGACAATTTTTCGTCGCTTTTGACGATCCTTTAGCAGCTTTTCCGTCGCTATCCAACTTTTGTCGCTATCCAACACGCCTTTAGAAGATTTTTTAGCTGTTTTGGCAATTTACCATTTCATTTTTTGTGGCATTTCCCGACGTTTTCGTATTTTTTCGACACTTCTTCATTTTTGACAATTTTTCGTCCCTTCTGACGATCTTTTATTCACTTTTCGGTCGCTATTACATAGTTTTCGCTGTCCAACACGGTTTTAAAGATCTTTTATCCGTCTCGGCAATTTTTCATTACAATGTACACTTTTCCTTCGCTTTTAACACTATTTCGCGGCTTTTAACAATGTTTCGTCGCTTTTACAATTCATTTTACAATTATTTCCCGATGTTTTTGTATTTTTCGACTATTTTCTTCACCTTTGAAAATTTTTCGTCGCTTCTGCCGATCTTTTAGCAATTTTTCGTCGCTATCCAACACTTTTCGCTATCCAACACGGTTTTAGAAGATTTTTTAAAGGTTTTGGCAATTTTTCATTGTAGTGGACACTTTTCCTTCGCTTTGCACACTATTCGGAACTGTTGTCAGTTTTTCGTCGCTTGTACAATTGATTTTGACGATTTTTTATCAAAATTCTCGATGTTTTTGTCTTTTGTAACGAGTCCGTTACTTAAATAACCACTTACCTTTTTGTCACTGGAATCTTTTAATTTAATTATAAATTAAATTCATCTTTGAAATATTCTTAAACCAAAAATTTAAATAACTCCAGTAAATTTTATTTTCGAAAGTTGGCATTAAATCCCGCCCTCTGTCTAAGATTCTGAAAATACATCGTCGTGACAGCCGCCGAAGTACCGGCAGATCGTCACTTGTTGCTGGAATTTCGTCGAGCGAACTTCGTTGTGACCAAGTAGTGCGGCTCGAGGTGCCATTTTCATGAATCTGGGTTAAGTTTATTTTATTTTTTTTACGAAGAAGCAGTTATTTTGGAAGGAAGCCTTTTTGTTACTTTTGTTTTTGGGAAATACTTAAGTTTTGGACCACCTCAGCCGGTAAGATGAATTTATAAATAAATTATATGAAAAAACATGTCAGATCATCCGCCATTGTTGGTAAAATTCAAATCAATTTTAATCCTTTCTCGATAGATATTTCACACATCTTATATATGTCTCATTTTACTTTATTTCATTAATACCTAAATACATTAAGTATTAGATTTTATAATTATTTCAAATTTTATTTCTTTTCAAGGATGAAAACAAACAATTATCTATTTCAATTCCATACCGTTTAAACCGGCTAATATTTCTTTTTTTTCTATTCTATAATATATACAGACCATGCCTTCCGTAAAACATTCTATCTAATATGATCCTATAATATCATTGTCATACTATCCCAAGGTCGTTATTCACTGAAACCCATTAACAGTTTTTATTTCAATTTGTTGACCTTTCTTGGTTTTTTCCTTACTTTTTGTATGAACAAAAGACCTGGAGTAACACAACTGTTCTTTTTAGCCTACTTCCGGGATCCAGTGACAAGTCAGGGAAGAAAAACCTTTTCAGTTTGTTTATGGGGAAATATTTATTGGGACAAGGGGAAGAAAAATTTTTAAGTTTGGGTTAAGAAGAATTTCAAGGACTTAAGTTAAAAGTACCTCTTTTTTTATATATGGTGTCCAGGTTTGGCGTATCACCCACCTGCGACTAGTTCTCCACCGGATCATCTCCAGGGAAACCTACAGAAACCGGCAGGAAGAACTGATTTTTAATTTTTTTTATTTCCTATTCAAATATTTTTAATAACAATCGTAAAATAGTTTCGGTTTAACACCTTTATCAACGTCTGTTTTGCTTTGCAATTTTTAGAAAGCACAGATAAAAGCAGAAATCTGAATTGTGTTTCGAAACTATTTTTACGATTGTTAAATTAGATGTCGCTAGTGCGTCCGTATTCGAAGCCATGTTATTGTTGCTTCTTAAAAGACAGAAATATTGATCTTTCACGTTGAGAACACCTTTGAATAACTGTTCTGATGAGACCTATTATGCTCGAATACGTACAACATACAAAGCGCTGTTTCGTGAAATCAAATATTTGCTTCTTTTTACATTTTTAACGTTCTACATCTCTTCAAGGTTTAACTTTTGTTTCACTTTAATTTCAATATATATCATTAATAATAATTACCTTCACTTTTTCATAAAATATTAATCATTGTAACTTAATTTAATTATTTATTGTCTACCAAGGGATGAGGTTTTAACTCTCCCTTGAATCTCTCTTTGTCAGGTTATTGTGTGCACACATATCCGGAGAGGTTTATTTCATTTATTTGATAATTGTAACGTTTATATTATTATATATTTCATTTTATATTATATACTTAACTATTGCATAACCTTAGTCAAAATTTCACATTATCAGGTACATTAGGGGGGAAATTGTTTTATCATTATATTCAGGGTATTTATATTATGTAAATATAGATATAGTTAATTGTATATAAGAGGTGTTGGGTTATATTGTTATATATAAGGGTTTAAACTAATTTGTACATAATATAGGTATTTATTAAAGTTGGGTTAAAACAATTTAAGATTTCACTTGGTACCTATCCTTTAATATTTCAGCAATACAAGATATCTCGGAAGAAACCATTTAACTTCCTGGCGCCCAAACATTCAGTAGAGCAACTTTATCTTTCATCTGTTTATTTCTTGGTAGATTTCTTGTCATTAGTTCTTCTATCTTACGGTCACTGTAGGGCATGCAAATTGGCCTAATCCCTCTTGAGTGTCAAGTGGTCATTCTCCTGCATAGTCGCTAGCCAGCATTAATTTTATTATATTTTAAAGTTCATATTTACCCTTTATTTATTTCTTTCATATAATTTATTTCTATCTAATCCCTTCCATCTTCTGTTATTCCAGATATTAATCCGTTGGTGTATCAAGGTACATTTTAGAGTTTACCCTATTGCTACACTGTAGATTTTTGTTACATTTCCCTACTCTCACCCTTCTTATTACATTGTTTCACTAGAAACAATTCATTCTTGTTATATTGGCGCTCCAGCCAATCCATTTTTGTTACACTTTTTCGACTTTTTTCTCTAACTTTGACAATTTTTTCATCGCTTTTGACAATCTTTAAGTCACTTTTACGTGGTTATCCAATACTTTTCGCTATCCAACATGCTTTTACAACATTTTGTGGCGATTTCGGCAATTTTTCATGGTCGTGGACACTTTTCCTTCATTTGTAACAGTATTCCGGAACTTTTGAAAGTGTGTGGCCGCATTTACAATTCATTTTGACGAATTTTGGGGCATTTTTCGTCGCTATGCAACTTTTCCCTATCCTACACGCTTTTACACGATTTTTAGCGGTTTTGGCGATTTTTCATTGCAATGGCACTTTTCCTGCGCTTTTAAATCTATTTCGCAGCTTTTGACAGTGTTGCCACGCGTTTACAACTCAATATGACAATTTTTTGAGGCAGTTTTATCGTAAGTATACTTGTTGAAAATCATCACCTGATATGTGCAATTATCCACTGCTGTACTAAAGTTTATTCTTTAATCTCGAGATATGGCAACAATGTAGCTATTATATGATTGACATATTAGTGCTGTCAGTAAAATGTGACAAAATGTAATCACAGTGAAAAGAGAAGCGTCGACTATCCAACAATTGCATTTGATGAGGAGGATACACCAATAACAACTGCGGTTTCCATTTTCGGTGGTATGAAAACCTTAATCTTGGCGAGTTTTAGTGATCGAATTTCACGAAGGTCGACCAAAAACATCAAGAACAGCAGCAAACATTGACGACGTACGACAAATGATAGCAATGTCACAGAGAAACAAATAAATCAAATTTTACATCTTATCAACTTTACAACTTATCAATAAAACTTTCTGTTGTTGGATTCTACACAATTAAGAAGGTAAAATCAATTTTAATTAAAAATTTTTTTAGACTTTTCGATGTCACCTCGTTTTGTTTCTATTTCATCTCATAAATACTTCAAATATAACGTATATTTAATTAAAATTGTGATTTTTGCCCATTAAGTAAAGTAGTTAATTTAGACATGCCTTTTTTGTATCGAAAACTGGACCATTTTATTAAAAGATCGTAAAACTTTAAGTGTTTCAAACGTATAATTGATCTCCAATTCTTCATACAGTCCCGAAGTTTCAGAAAGTGAAAAATCAATTACTTGGTCAAGGATTTCCAATGCAAGATGCACTCACTGAACTATTTAAAAATTTCCTCACATGCTAAAGTGTACAGAGTGTGACGATGAATATTTTAAAAAACAATTAACTCATGAGAATGGTAATTAGGCACAAAAAAAGACTAGTTTACTTCATCATATTCGAATTAGAACACGCTAACTTTTCTATTGTATTTTAATATTGAACATGTATAGCCTTGGATTTGAATTTCTTAATCAGTGTTTACGATTTGATATATAATTTATAAACGAAAAACACGAGGTTTCAATAAAAAACCAAACAAGGCAATTATTAACAAGACAGTCATTCTTGGTGAGGTATATAGCTGGTAAAAATAGTACTTAAGCCTTTTTGAATCATAGTACCGTTTCGGTTATTTCTTAGACCAGATATTGGCAACATAACATCAAGAATAGAATAACAATTTCCTTCTCATTATGTTCAGAGTACTGTATTATCGCATGTAATACTGGCTAAGTTGGTACGCTACCTTTCATAGGCTTAGCGCCGTAGTAGATATCTGTAGATCGGCAGCATAGAGATGTGGACTACGATGTTACCGTGTGTTGCTTGGGTAAATTTGGAGCCAATTTGGCGTTTTGTCTGTTCCAATTTTCGTATCTTCTTAAGGTCAGTCTAATTTCGATATTTACCTAGTCAGTGTCAAGACTTTTCTTGCTTAGTTGGCAGTATTTTCTGATATTTTTGATGGTTACAATGACAAGTAAAAAAGGTTAAGTTGATTGGTAGAATATGTGGACTTGAAAATACTTTTTTACGCCTATTAAAGATAAACTTGTATGTCTCATTTTCAATGAAGTTGTAAAGAACATGACTCGATACTCATTCTCGGAAGCAAAGAATATACATAGGAAAGAGATGAATCTACAGCAATTATCAAGCGAATGACATAACACCACTATATTCTTATGAAAGTTAAAGCAACTGGATGAAAATATAGCAATGTAAACCATAATACAAAATAGTATACATAATTCTGTATAACTCCCTCTCAAAATTAAAAAAAAGTGTCTGATTATTTAACATATCATAAATATATTGTGGAAAAACAAAAAACATGTATGAATGTACTTAAAAATAATTTTGACTCACCTTTGGCCTCCCAATATCCTAAACTTCTCGCTCTCTATATCGATATCGGACAGCAAGCCCCATCCAACGGACAAGAACGAAAAAACGATCTGAGACGTGGTTTCCACCCTCACCAGATCCATAAACTCGGAATGATTTCGAACTATCGCTAAAGCCGAAGGTAAAACTGGCATGGTCATGTACGGTTCTGAGTAATAGTGTGCTATGCTGCGCGCCAGACCGTTGCCGGAACCTCCCGGTACTATACCGATGGGAATCGACCTCGTCACGTCGGCCCAATCGGATCGTTCGAAGATGCCGTTGAGGACTTCGAAGAAGATTCCATCGCCGCCGACCTAAAAATAACAAATAAATCATCAACCGTATCGCTATACCATGGGGATGGGGGATTGCCCACTACAGTGGACCATCCGATAATTCAAGCAGATGTAAATGCGGCCAGAGTCAACAGTGACTGGTCAACATACTGACTAGAAATAAAGCACAAGTTGGGTCCTGTCTCAAGAGTCCTGAAATCTCCGCACAAGAAGGTCCTTTAGACAACGTCAACCAGTACTGAAGGGCACTCAAATTACCAGTTCAGGTCCCACATTCAGAGTGGAAGAGCTACATTTTGTCAGGGCGTCAACCCGTTCGTTCTTCTCACACCTGTGAGATATCTATGACAAAATATCAAGTTAAACCCATTGGTCAGCGCAACATTACCCAATGTTCTCTTGTACCCAAGAACCAGCTTAGAGCTGACTAGTGGTGCTTCCAGAGCCCTTAGTAAGCTCTATCCATTATGTCTAGAGCACATAAAAGGATCGGAAAGCTCTCGGCCTGGAAGACTGATGCATGGGAGCCGAGAGAATGACTAGACTCAAATCTGATCCAGCCACTATATATTAAAGTAAACATTATAAGAATACTGGACTGCATTATTTTTGCGTTTAACTATATCTCGTTCTTCCGTTTTAATAAGAATCTCATCTGTTCTTGAAAATTACTTTGCTTCTCGCTTATTATACGTAGTAACTTTTTCTGTTACTCATTTCAGTCTCACCTTTATTTCTTCCATTCTTGTACAGCTTGCTCCTCAGTTAATTTACTTATATATTTCGAAATTTGTCTCTATTTCAGATTTAAGTTATTTCTTTTTGGTTATTTTCCCTCAAAAGCCTTAATGTCAACATCGTTTTAGTTTTTTCTGGGATCGTATCAGTTTTTAGCACGAAGCAAGGTTCAGATATCTGGGAATAGATACTTATAACTAGTTACGGAGATGTTGAAGAAGTACGACAACAAAACTTAAAAGCAAGTAAAGCGGCGGGATCTTTTAATTACACAATCTTTGTGACGAATATTATTATTATATTATATCAGGGAAAAGTCTGTTAGATAGGGAAGAAGCGAAAACATAAGAAGAGCATGCAATATAGAAGACATGAATGGATAGGCGACAAAACGGAAACAGCAGTGGAACGAACACATTAGTAGAATGGCAAAGTATAGGATAGTACGAATAGCATGAGTCACAAATGGATGAATGAATATTGGCAGACCAATAAAAAGATGGTGCTTTAAAAGCTACATACAAAAAGGAAGAAGAAGTATTAGTTTTTCCTAATATTCGCTTCTACCTAAAGAGATTTTCATATGTAGGGACGTCTTAGATGCAAATCGTAATAGGTGTTGTTCCATGTAAAAATGTATCGACCTTTCTCCCCATTCATTGCTTTCACCTGACTAGTACTTAAATATTACAAACAAATACATTATATAAATCATTATTATCAGTGATAAATCAAATATAGAATATTGATGTGATAGTATCGCGTTCGATATTGTATTATCTTTATATCGTTCACACAAAAACGTTTTGAAAAGATAATAGCTTTCTTTTAATTGGTAAAATTCCGTAATAGCTGCTTTTATAATATAATTAAAAAATAATTTAATATTTTTGTGAGTATTTAATGTGAATCTAAGTGGACAAAATCGTAAATACACTGCGCGTCATGAAAAAGGCCACCTAGAATTTGTAAGAATTTTTCAATGACTCAGATTATACAATTTATTCTATTGTAACTAGTGATGTGAGTTGTAAAATTTACATAACTTACGTTACATAAATTACACGTAACTTACGGTAATATTACATGATACCCGTAACTTAATGTAATTTATGTAATTTTTGGAATTTACGTAATTTATGAAATTTAACGTAACTTATGATAAATTTACATAAATTACCGTAATTTATGTAATTACTGGTAAAATTACATATATTATGGCAACTTATGCGCGCGCAATTGTCGTAAGTGCGGTGCGCCGGTGCCGGCGCGCGCGAACCAGTGGGTGCTATTACGCTCGTCGCTCGTTAGTCGTTCCTTAGTCTGAGTCAGGCAGGTTATGTTTACATTTCTGTTATTGTATGTGTAATGTGTATGTATAAGTTAGTTTTCGACTGTTCTTTCTCTATTCATTCACGCAGCGTTGGTTACTTTACATTTATTTATAAGGAAGCACAGAAACTATAAGGTAAGAAATATATTATTTCTACAAACAGCAAAACACGTGCCGGTGATGTCCATAGCAACCTTAGATTGGGAAACACAGGGGCGGGCCTATCGCATATCGACTGTACGTTAAATCTAACGCGCGTCATTTTATATGTGGCTACAGTACTTAATTCTGAATTCGGTTTACCAAGTTTTATTCGATTTTTTAGATTAGTTTACTGTACAATAACTATAAGAATGATAGGAGCAACGGGGTACTTGTGCATGTAGCATGTGTAATTGAATTACACTGACATAACTTACTAAATAAAAAATTTTGATAACGTTGAGGGCAAAATAATGTAGTTGTCCGATCCAGTATTCTGCTTATTCGAATTTCATTAAATTGTTACACAGATTCAATTTTAATCTTTCTTCTATTTAAGGATGCCTAACAATTTTTTATGCCCTCGTGCCCATCAAATACTTTGAAAAATAATGTTTTTTCCCTTCTTAATGTTTAAGTCTACCTGAATATTTTTTTTAGGTCATAAAACATGGTGAAACGTAAGACAGATATCTGGCTTTATTTTGAAGTGTTACCTGCGGGTTCTTCTAATCAAAAGACCATAAATGTGAGGTGTAAATTTTGCAAGAGTGTACATGCAAAAAAATGCTACAAGAATGAAATCTCATCTTCAACAATGCACTTATGTGCCGCATATGATAAAACTTAAATTCAATATTTTAACTCCAAAGTCAAAGGGGAATCACTCTAAATTTCCATTTGAAACATCCATGAAAAAGATCACATCGGCAAAATTGGATAACGATAACACTGATGCTGCTTGTACATCATCAACGGTTTCCACAGCATCAACATCTGCTTCTGATAACATTCATGTGGAAACACCTGTTTGCACAAAAATCAACAGAATACAATCATTTTGTGATCGAATGACACACGAACAAAATAACGAATTGAATATTTTGCTTGCTAGAGCTATTTACACCAGTTCAGCACCACATTCAATTACCGAGAATGAAGATTGGAAATTGTTTTTTAAAAAAATTAGACCTTCATACACCTTACCATCGAGATATATGTTATCAAATCGTCTCCTGACCGAAGAGTACGAGCGAGTTGAAGTTCAAGTTAATGATAAAATTAAGCAAGCTGACAATTTATCATTGCAATGCGATGGTTGGTCCAACTTGCGAAATGAAAGTGTAATTAATTTCATTGTTACAACACCCGAACCGTTATTTGTCAAATCAGTACTAACAAAAGCAGAGAAGCATACCGCAGAATATATAACAAAATTAATGGTTGAAGTTCTGGAGGAGTATGGACCTAAAAAATTTTTCGCTATTGTGACTGATAACGCAAAGAATATGAGGAAGGCTGTGAGACAATGTGAAGAGATGTATCCCCATCTTGTATCATACGGCTGTTTAGCGCACACATTACATTTATTGTGCAGCGATATTTTGAAATTATCTTCAATAGAGACACATTTGTCACATATTATACATATCGTTAAAACTATTAACCAGTGTCAAGTACTGAGAGCTCAATTCACAGAAATAAGAAATGAGATGAAGTGTGGAGTGTCTCTTAGCCTACCTGTAAAAACAAGATGGGGTTCACATGTAAAATGTCTTCAAGATCTGACTAAATGCAAGTCCGTCCTACAACGTCTAGCAATATCTCCAGATAAAACAATTCAAGATAGAATACGCAGCGCAAAAGCAAATTTACTTGATGAAGGATTCTGGATAAATTCTAGCGCTCTTGTTGAATTGCTTAAGCCAATTACTGAAGCAATAACACGTCTTGAAGGAGATTCTTCGTCAATTCATTTGGTTTGTGAAACTTTCGCGAAAATCGGTAGTAACATATCTACTCATTTAGAATGCGTGAAACTAACGGATTGCGAAAAAACAGAAGCGATGGATAAATTTATATCAAGGAAGGAATACGCCCTTCAACCGATCCATTTTGCCGCAGACTTACTAAACCCTCGGTCTGTTGGTGCAAATTTATCATCAGCCGAAAGGATTGAAGCGATGAAATACATTACTACTATGTCAACCACGACCACGATAGAGATTGGTGATGAAGGAGTGTCAAAGATTACTGAGGATTTAGGAAACTATTTAGCTAAAACAGACTTTTTTGGCGAAACATTTTTATGGAACATACTCGATAATGTCTCTTTGGTTACATGGTGGAAAGGATTTTGTGGACATTCATGCCTCTCCAAAGTTGCAGTCAGGATATTGACAATGCCGTGCACTTCTGCGGCAACAGAGAGAAGCTTTAGCTCCCAGAGCAGCATTCATACGAAGAGAAGAAATCGCCTAACAACTCAAAGGGCAGCAAATTTAAATTATATACAATATAATTCAAAATTGCTGAAACGTTCACGACAACATCACATACAAAGTCAATATCCTATAGAAGAGACTGTACAGAACAACGTTTCGATAGAAGGTAGAAACTTACAGAAGGAGATAGAAGTAATTGAAAACCATATTTCCGAAGAGGAAGAATTAGACGAGGTAATTTTAAATTTAGGCATTTTTTAGATATGTGATATGTGCATGTGATATATGCAGTTTGCTTCTTTTCCGATTTTCCAATGCATTCCACCGTTTTCGAATAAAAAATTATAAATCTTATGTTTTCAGACAATATCATCATGGCATTCAAATACAACAGGAAATGGAAATTCCGACGATGATTTTAATTTTGCTGACTTTGCAATGACCGATGATGAAATTGATCAAAGAATGGAAACTAGGGAACAGAGACCAGCACGCATTTTGAGACAAAGCAAAGTGAACAT